TAAAAGGCTAATGATAACCTTCAAGACGCCTGCCATTTGACATAATAAACTACACCGTCATATCCACCAATCGTCAATTCCCCTTCCTTTAAAGCCCCCGAATCGTTTGAAGGCAGATCAATAGCACATTTCAAGCCATACAAAAAGTTATGCAGTGGCGTGGCGGCCGATTCCACCCTATTTTCATGATTTTTCGCAAGAATGAACTAACGTTTTTTTGGGTAGCAGAAAGCCGATCAACCCAATTGATCTCATCTGTACTTAATTAGTAAAATTGGCACAATTATATTGTTACAAGGTTGAGAACAGTAGTATACACATTTCAAAGAAATTGAAGCATTAAAATGTGAATATAAATATTTTGACCCATTTAACAGACACAAGATTGTAAACAAATAAGTTAACGAGATGTCAAACCCAGCCAAAACCAGAAAGGCACGTGACTAGCTACCTTGGCCTGAATTCGGGACAGGGATATAAGATTTAGACGATAGGATAACAAGATGTGGGGGGTATGAGAAAGCGATCATCAGCTCTTCAGTAGTAAAGAAAATAAATAGGGAAAGAAATAGTTGCTCCTTTCCACATAAAAATATAAGGAAAAAGAGTCAACATTGAAATTTGCACAAACCATTCACTGGCAATTTCCCAATAACTAATCTGAAGCAATGATATTTCATTATGAAACGTGCATTGCTTGTTATTTACCGATAATACTTGTGTTGATCATCATAGCAACAAAGCCACTTCAAGATCATTCACGCCTACTTAGCAAGATACGAACACACTTAACGCTTGCCAAGAACTGTTACAGACCACAGAGAGGGGACATACCAAGAATCCATAAAAGAATAATTCGGTTAAAACGAATCAGTGGCGACAAAGTCTAGAAAAATTGATAACATTCATCCCATATATAAAAAAATATTGAAGCAACAGAGAACTAGCTAATTAGTATAGCATTTAAGGCATTGGGAAAATCCAGTATATTTAATCAAAAGTCGAGGCAAGACTACACATGCTTTAGATAAATAATTGGAAGCCTGAGAGGTAATGTGGTCGAAGGGGTTAAAAGCATGACAATGCGTTGACGGAGCCTCGATTGTCCCGGTCAGGGTGTGTAAACACAGTCATGATGAACTTAATAGGCTTAATTAATTTAGTCCTATGGATAATAGCAACAACAAAGATGAACTCTTCACAACATTTGCCAGACCAATTTGAGGGTTGCTTCATCTGTGAGAAGTTCAGCCCTGTAACACCCGTGTTAGAACGAAGGCCTTCATGATAGAGGCTGAAACGCTAGATTACCTGTGGCGACAAAGTCCGAATTTCGATGTGAGGATACTCGAAGACTTATTTTCACGGAAATCTGCTGTACAATCAGACAGCTTATTAGATTACCTTTTTCTACCCACATTAGCCTCGTAGTGTGCATTCCAGTTTTCCAGTTCATGAGGAATTCTTTTCACGGTATTCAGGGGTCACATTGAGGAGTGACCACGCTTTCCCTATTTTTGTCTGATAATCATTACGAATCATCATGATACAAGTTATTCTCTTCCATAATTCCGCTGGGTTCCAGTCAGTCAACCTTGTTGCCAACAAGCGCGTGACTGAAGAGTTTAAAGGCTTCAAGAAAATATAACGCGTGTGAACGCCTTAATACACCTGGAAAAGTAGCCAAGTAGTAATTAGAACAATTTATCTAAAATACAATAGTTGTTCAGATACCTACCAAAATCAATCATAAATATCGACTGCTGACAAGTGTGAATTGGCTCTCACAAGTCACATCTACCTGCCTATTCAATAACTGGAATCAAAAGATTTCCAAGCAAAAAATTTAGGAGGTAAAATCTTTTTGACAAAACCAATTCAGATTGATCTTGGCACCATGTGCCCAAACTTATTGAATTAACAATGAAGAAAATTAACACAAGCACACCTTTTAATCCATTTCACAAAGATTATGAAATTGTAAAGTTCACCGGTGAAGTTTTAGGGCAAATACTTTCAGAGAAATGATTGCATTTCTGGGGAGCAATGGCCTCTCAAGATCAATATCAACGACAAAATCAAACAAAGTAGTGATCGTGCCGCAAAATAAAAAAGTTGTTATTGCATTTTGTAAAAATTAGTCGAATAAAATAACTCCACTTTTTCAGGTAAACTAGTTAGTTAGCAAGCAAAATCAGATCTAAGAAAATTTAAGAAACTTATTCGTGATACGAATAAAGGAATAACAATTGAATCAGCTTAAGAGGGCATAGAACGGTTAATATCTGATTGACCTTAGCGCGATTCTGCTCATAAAGTGAAAATCTAGGAGTACAACCACTAGAAGGCTTTAAAATCTTTTAAGCAGCTAATATGATAAATCTTCCAAAACCTTACTCGACGCGGGCATTCGATGTCTTTTACTGACTTCTCAATCTCCTGTTTGATAGCCAAGGCCTCAAGTTTTTCGTCAAGGTCCTTTTTCTCAGCATTGTCTAATTTGATGGACTTTGAGGGCTTCGGAAGCCAAGCATTCGAGTCCTTCAATATAGGCGGAAATAAATGGCAACTCCCCGGGGGAACGGATGCTGGATTTTCAGATTGTTTGCAAGCCATCGCTGGAGCTTTATCCATCTAAATTAAATAAAGTATGAAATACTGAAACTAAAACAAAATAACGTGTTGAAATGTGTTGGAAGCCAACCTTTTCGCAAACACATAAGCTACACGTCCTGCTAGAGGTTGGTGAAGAGTCCAAAATTTCAAAACTTTCTAATTCTGCAAATTGGCGATAAAGTAAACTGAAAAAAGAAAGTACCCGACGATAAAGATTGAATTTCGACATCCTGTCCATTTCCGGTCAAATTTTCGTTCTTATGAAGCCAAGTGCAAAGCGGCTTGTCTGCAAACAGATATTTCGATAACGAACCCACTTCAACTGCTAAAAGAAATAAATTACAAAGGATACACTACCATTTCGTTCAATTTGACCAAAGCAGAGAATCGCATCCGCCAAATATGCAGAATTACAATTAAACGAAAATGTCCCATTACTATTTCGAAGCATGCTACAAAAAGTATGTGAAAATTATAGTAACTAAAACTACCTATTTAGTTGACTTTCAATGTAGGCAACCAGACCATTTCGTTCAGAATTATTTCGGCTTTTAGCATATTCCAATAAACCAATAAGCCTAAAGATTATCATCTTCACCTAAGTTTATTACCTTTGAACAGATTGTACATCTTGCTTGAATTGAGTTTCCAGTTTATGAATTAGAGAGTTCCTCCTTGAACACAACATACGTGATTGTTTCATAACCTCAACATCAATTACTTGCTTTGTAGATGCGAAGCTACTTAAAAGACGCTCGTACATCGAGTTTAGTCTCTCATCAAACTTCTGAACACAATCAGCTTTGCATTCACTTTCGAGACAAAAGACGCACATACTAGATAAAAAGGCGGAGACAAAGGTATGGGCAAAAACCGGTTCAATAATTTGAAGGTCGTGCAGAAGGATATAAGAAAGTTTAACGTACTTAATCTATTTTTTCAAAACAATAAGTACAAGTAAAGTTATAGTCTTATATGTAAAATTATATTTTAAGTAATCAAATTAATTATATATATTTTATCGAAATTTTGATGCTATAGATATGATTTAATTAGTTTTCTCCTTAGTTAATTCAAATGCCAAAAATATGCTGATTTTCTCGTTAAATTTTTATTACTTTATTATTTGCCTTTTTCATTGAAAATTACTCTACAATGCATTTATTTAGAAATCTTAACTAATATTGCAAAAATCTTCTTCGTAAGCACAATAACGTAAGTTTTAAGATTTCTTGAAAAATATTTGAGTTCCTGGAAGCATATATTAATAGATGCAATTTAGGTGATTCGTTTAGAAAGCTGCATTTTATATATTAATCGAAAAGAAAATGCACTTGAGTGTTTTACTTGGCATCTGATTCATTAGAAAACTTGTCCAAAGCCAAATATGCATTTCATAATATGGATTATAAATCCGAAAATGTATTTTTATGCATTTCGTAAATTTTGTAACTACTTCCTAAGAAAGTGTGCGAATGTATTGGGTTGGCAACTAAGTCACTGTCGTTTTTGTTGACAGATTCACTCTATACTTTCTTTTGTTTTGTTAACGTGGCCAGAGCATCTAACCTATATTTTTTCTTACTGTATGGACTTCTAGGTTAATTAGTAAAAAATATTTTTGTTTAGTTCTTTAGTTTTGTTTTATCTCAATTTAAAAATGAAAGAACAGGACGTGCACTTCCCACACATTTTATTGTATTACTTCCGAAAAGGCAAGAACGCATCGCAAGCACAAAAGAAGTTATGTGCCGTATATGGAGATGAAGCCTTAAAAGAAAGGCAGTGTCGAAATTGGTTTGAAAGATTTCGTTCCGGTGATTTTTCACTGAAAAATTCACAACGATCTGGCCGCCCAGTCGAAGTGGATGAAACCATATCAAGGCCAGTATCGATTCAAATCGTCACAGCACAACACGAGATATTGCAGAGAAGCTCAATGTGTCGCATAAATGCATTGAAGATAAAAATTAAAAACCCTTGGTTATGTCAAGAAACTTGATTTATGGATCCCTCACCAGTTAAAGGAAATTCATTTGACGCAACGGATTAGCATCTGTGATTCGCCGCTACTGAAACGCAATGAGAATGATCCATTTCTGAAGAACCTAGTTACTGGCGACGAAAAGTGGATAGTTTATAACAATGTAACTCGCAAGAGATCATGGGTGAAGCAAGATCAACCAGCCCAAACAGTATCGAAAACAGAGATTCGCCAAAAAAAGATTATGCTGTCAGTCTGGTGGGATCACAAAGGAATTTTGTATTTTGAAGTCATGGCGCAGAACCAAACGATAAATTCAAATGTGTATGTTGAAGAACTCGAAAAACTGAAGGATGCAATTGAAGATAAGCGGCCGGCATTATCAAATCGGCGGAAGGGTGTTGTTTTCCATCATGATAACGCAAGGCCCCACACACCTTTGGTTACTCGGCAAAAATTATTGGAACTGGGTTGGGATGTTTTGTCACACCCACCATATAGCCCTGACCTTGCGCCTTCGGATTACCATTTGTTTCGTTCCATGCAAAACTCTTTAAATGGTCAAATTTGTAACAACGCGGATGATGTCGGATCACACCTAATTCAGTTTTTTAATAGCAAAGACCAGACATTTTACGAACGGCGAATTTTTACTCTGCCAGAACGATGGAAAAAGATCATCGACAAGAACGGCCAATATCTAATTGAATAAAGTTATATTTTTAAACAAAAATTCCGAATTAGCCTTCTTATTTGAAATCGGCAATGACGTAGTTGCCAACCTAATAAATAAGAAGGCTAAAATATTTCAACAAATTTGATGAAATCATTAGAACAGAATTAACAGGGGTGCAAAAAAGACTTACTTCCACGTGATGCACCCTGGGCAACGTATACTCATACGGCAAAAAAATTCAATAAAAATTCAGTTGACTTCTGACCTAAAACTACCATGACCCCACTCTAGGTCATATTCGAACTCTTCCACTGTACTCACCTTACTTTTATCCTTTACCATTATCTCATTAACATCTGTGAATCTCTCTTCTGTTCTCCCTCTCAAATTTTTGTTACTTTGATGTTTCTTCCCTCTAAAAATCCAGTAGCCAAATAGAGAACTTATGATAACTATCGAAATGCCAGCCATTTGATTTAAATAAATTATTTATAAATGACATATCAACTCTTCAAGGGTTTTAAATTGCTTTCAATATCTAAATAAAACTTGAAAATAAACTTTTGATAACACCATCCTGAGAGGCCATTCTGTATAATGTGTACAAAGTTCTTGAGAATCGAATTCTTGCTGGGTTATTCAATGTTCCGAAAATTTTTGAGTGGGGTTTTGATTTGCCTTATATTTTAATCATTGAGATATTCAGAAGATTTTCAGCTGAGTTTGATTAATATTATTACTATTCACATAACATATTCTCATCAACAATTAAATTAAGATTAAAATTTTCGAACGAGCAATCCAGCACTTATACAATCCATAAAAGCTGTCCCAATAGGCAGAAGGAAAGTATAAAGACTTCATTCCATCGGCAGTTTTTCGTCAATTATTATCGAAAATTTACAGCACTTCTTATTTAATACAAATTGTCGCAAACTATATAAGGATCAATAACTCTTTCAATAATAATAATAATAATAAGAAGAAAACATATATATCAAACTAATAATTTTATCAAGCAAAATACACGATTATATCAATTTTGAAAATATACCCATACATACCAGCATTCATTTGAGATTTTTTGAAATTAAAATGGATCTTAATTTTTAATTTCAAAAGTTTTGAAATTATTGAAATGAAATGTTTCTAAAAATAATAATTTTTATATCATCTTTAGCATATTGCTGTGTTCTGAAACAAAACTGAGATGAGTTCTAGGCAAAAATTGATTCACAGATCGCTTATAATTCACAGAATTACAATTATTTTAAGTGACCAAACAAGATTATTGTAATTTCCACTTTTTTAAACCAATATATCACACTATTACTCAGTAAAATTGCTTGTCACCAAGAAGATACTAGAAGATACCTATCTGAAGTTAGGATTCAGCAAAATTTTGTTAATATTTATTTGATCTGTGGAGGGCACAATACTAGCGAGTCTGAACAAGGAAATCTCATGAACTCTCGTTCCGTTGATCATGCAAACGAGAAGGGGCGGTGGCAAGTGCAAAGACTTCCCAGCCACTCCACAATAGGCAATGCAAAGTTAACGTCTCATGACTAAGCTCTGTGTCGGTGCTGCCACAATCGGAACAAACGCATTCCTCGTCATACCTTCTGTTGCTTCAATATTTATGAGCACGCCTAGCCAATTCTAGAGCAGTCTTACACTTATAAAGTTCACCAGAAGGTTGCTTAGATTTAATCATGGCCTATTTGGGTAGCAACATTTACAGAACATAGCTTCTGTTTTGAAAACATTAAAGCATTACACTTCCAAAATCTGGAACAAATTGAAAATTGATCATCGACGGTGAAGAAGGATGACAGAAATGAAATAATTCAAAGCAACTTTTAATTGATTAGGCAAATATTATAAACACTCAAATGAAAGCTTCTTTCTATATGTAATTGGGGAGTGCAATAGACTTACCTCCACGTGGTGCACCCTGGGAAACGTATATTCATACGGCAAAAAAGTCGATTAACTGGCAGTTGACTTCTCACTTCAAACTACCATCACCCCACTCTATGTCATATTCGACTATTTCCACAGTACTCTCCTCACCTTTCATCTACCTTTGTGTCTGTCACTTACATCTTTGTAACAATCTTCTGTCCCCCCCCCCTCCTCTCGACTTTTTTCAATTCGATGTTCCTTCCCCTCTGTGAAGTCTGAAGTCAACTATAGGGCTAATGGTAACCATCAAGACGCCTGCCATTTGATATAAATAAACAAACTCATGATATCTATCAAAACGCCTGCCATTTGAAATAAATAAAAATAATATCTATCAAGACGCCTGCCATTTGATATAAATAAACAAATTCTATATGAAATCAGTCGAGTTCCTTTAATTTAGATAGTATATTTAAAATCTTGTTGAAAAATTGAAATGTGATATGGAAAGAGTACATTTCTGTTCATTAACTTTGCATAATTAATTTGAGTTCTATTTTACTTATTTAAGCTCTTCATCCATACCTATGCATAGTGTCCTAATCGCGAAGCTCACCCATTACTCGATTAGTTCTTTTACTAAAATGAAACTTTCAAAGAAAAATTCGAATGTGAAATTCTCTTGAAATATATGTTTTAAAAAAATATACATATTCTTGCATACAGATAAGGTAAAAAAGAGTACGTAAAATCATAAAAGATAAAAAAGAGATCTAATGGCTTCACAGCTGTTAAAAAAAGTAAATACCGACGCTATAGGAGTAAATCGTCGAGAAATAGGAGGAGGTATATGACAGGTACTATGATGACGTAAAGTGGTGGTGTTGCTGTTCCCGAAATCGAGGTTTGTTTAAATGCACGCTCGTAAGCTGGTTGGAAGAAAATTCGTTGAATATGGGAGTAATTGGGATTGTCAAGAGTTGAATTCGAAGGTTCAAAGACGAGGTCTTTAACAACGGACTTAAGATTGCTGACGGCATGTTTAACACGAAGTTTGAGCGGGGTTTTCTGCATATTTCCAGAAGCATAAAACCATTGTTCGCTTTTACGGTGTTCTGTTGCTTAAACAAATAAATATATTAAAATTATTTTATTTAAATGATAAATATAAATTAAATATAAAATTTCATTTTAAATAACGCCTCTAAATTTAACATATCCAATTAAATAGCTACGCAAATATCTAAAATGTAGCTAAGGTAACTTGGTTATTAAAACAAAGTGGAATTAAATTATCTTACCACTTGGCCAATAAATCGATAACCCGTTACTTTCTCTGCTTAACGAAATACCTTGCGATGTTGTGATATACTAAATAATCAAGAAATATAATAATTAATAAATAAAATTGCTTCGAAATGTTGGAGGTTAGTTCACCACTTACGCTAATTGGGCCATCAAATAAGAAAACGAAGTTTACTCGTTTGTGAGGAACCACATATCTCCTTATTCGCTCTAGGCCACTTCGAATGTTGTATTCTACAAAATAGTAAACATTGTGAAGTTTTTTAAGCACTCTTTAAGAAGAATTAGTGTCCAAAAATAGCTTTGTTTTAGAGGTTGGCCATGAGAAACTCATGTTTAAGGATGAAATTGGGACGAATTTAAGAGCACCTTTATACAAAAAAACATGTCCAACAATCCCATTTAAAATAGTCTTCATGTAAACTATTTAAACACATATTTCTTCACTTTCATGACTATGAGTGGACTAAAATGCTCCTAAAACTGGTGTAGAGCTACTGTTCAAGTATCGAACAAGAACCTCTTTAGCTAATATATACATTTGCTGATAATATTTACAGTGGATCATAGGTTGTAATAACACCTATTCACTATTTACGTTATATTTCCTGGTTAATGTGTTGGTATCGACGAGCGAATTTCGTGTGATACTTTAAACCAAAGGACTTCCCAGGGAGAGGATTATTAGGGTTTGGTCAATACTGCCAATTATTGGATATTTGTTTCAATATTTGATACCATCATCTTGAGTGACCTTGAAACTCCTTTTTTAATATTTGAGGGGGGGGGGGTTCGAATCGTTACATTTCTGCTATCGAATACTCAGATCCATATGGTGAACACTTGCGGACACAATTTTAAATTTCATAAAATAATAAAGCAATGAAAAATTTGGCTTAATGTGCATTGTAATACCTTTTTATAAATTTTAAAATGTATGAAAGGCTGTTTAATCTGCCAACTTTGCACTTGCAGTTTTTTCAATGAAATCTAATTAAATTAGATTAAATTAAATTAAATTACTTACTGTTAGTAGTTTCAATTTCATCTTCTTGTGAAAAAGACAGTACTACGGGATGGACATTGGGATTTTCTGGAAATATCACAGCAAACGCATTCTTTTCTGTCAACGAACCAGATATGTGTATCCAGCTTTTAGCTGTAAAAGGGCGATAAAAAAATGCTGAGAGATGAATATATTTTTCTTTAACAATTATTAAACTGAATTGCTCCATTCAAACAAATTTAACGGTAATTAATAAACAAAATAAACGATATGCGTTCTGCTAACTGCTGTGATTGTAAACAAGGCTTTTGATGAGGCATTCTAGGTAATTACTCATCAAAGTAAGGCGAAAGGATAGCTAAGGTCATGTTGGTTAAAATTTTTAAAAGCTTGACTACCGACTTAAGTAGGTTGGCATAAAGAAGAGTATATCTTAAGAAGGCGAAATCGCCATGACACCAAATGGCTGAAAATCCGCTAGCCTCGAATGCCCAATTAATGAAAACGAATTATTTATTTATTTATATCAAATGGCAGGGGTTTTGACAGTTATCATTAGCCCTTTAGGTGACTTCAGGCTTCACAGAGAGGAGGAGGAGGAACATCAAAGTGACAAAAGTCGAGAGGAGGGGGGGGGGACAGAAAAATGCTTCAAAGATGCAAAAGAAACAGACAGACACAAGGGTAGGGAAAAGGTAAGATGAGTACGGTGTAAGTGGTCGAAAATGACATACAGTGAAGTCATGGTAGTTTAAAGTCAGAAATAAACTGGCAGTTAAAAGACTTTTCCGTCGTATGAGTATTCGTTGTCCACCACGTGGAGGTAAGTCTATCGCGCACCCCTGAAAACGAATTATTAACTTCCTTTTCCAAAACCTCCAATATGAGCTCTGTTCCGCCTCTTTTGTTGGAAATGTGCTTCCTCCTCCCTCTTTATCTTCTGATGCAATCCTCCGCTACCACACCTGTTCAATTTCTCTCTCTATCTCCCCTCCCCCTCTCGTGCGGTTAAACTATTTTTCAGGACATTTGTGGCTACCTCTAAAGTCAATAAACGTCAATTTTGGAACACGGGGCATATCCAGGAGAATCTGTTAAAAGTATGCGAAACAGACATCCAAATGCAACCTTCACAAATAGTTAACCCACCCACCCGCCCCAACCCAAATTCTGATTGTGAATACTTTCAGAGTTGGTGATTAATTAACTATATCGAATAGGACCTAAGTGTTCAACACTGCTCTCATCAGTTTATTAATATTGTAGCAATTAGAATATTTCAACACATAAACACATTTGGTCAAGTCGTCTCCATTCCTCAAGAAGTCTACCTGATGAAAGAGAGAACAGTGAAAGAAAATTGATAGGTAACTTACAGGAGAAGGTTTGGACGCAAAAATCAGGAGGGTGACAAGGTGCAGAATTCGTTCCCACACGGGCTCTCGGTTCTGAACTCAGCAACTGAAGCGAAAAAAAGACCGAAAAAAGTGACGATTCTAAGATCAGTCTCATGTCAATACAACTAGAGCAATTTCTATCAAAATTTTGTGCGTACACAAACATAGACGCGTGTAAGTGTGTCTATGTTTCATATTTATTAAAATTAAAAAAAAACATTTTTATTTCACTCTTAAGCTATATATTTAGGTTTATGGTGATGTAAACTTATAAGTTATTGGTAAATAAATATATATATATATATATATTGTATTTTGAAATGCTTGATTTTTAAGTAAATTGTTGAGGTCAAGGCTTCGCACTGCGTAATTAAAATATTTTATGACGTAAACAACGAATGCAAAAATGCTTAACATTTTTGAAATCACGTGGATTCGTTGATGGGCGTGGAGGGGAAGGGGGGGCTGTGGGGAGT